TCATGGGTCAATATACATGTATAAATGAATGCAATGCATAAAAAGTAAGTCAATAAGATCTCTCAGGGTGTCATAAGGTCAATATGTCTTCGGTTAATATCACGAAATAAACTTTATCAACTTATGTATTTTCTGAGACCCATGAACAGACGATATAATAATAGAACATATGGGGAATCAAGAAATAGGCAACCCTAGTACTTCTAAGAATATGGTCATTTGTGAAAGTTGTGTATTTGCTCGTTTCGTTGTATCATATGGATCATGCCAAAAGGAAAGAAGAGATAGCCTTAACATACGTTATAGAAATCTGTCGAATAACAATGCTAAACTCAGCTCACTGCACCTTAATCTACAACAACGACAGTGAAGCTATTGTCAAGCTACAAATGACTCTCTCATTTATATAACGAAAGTAACTTAATCTGTAACAAAATGGGCAGCATTTCCCCTGATTTTACTGCTTTCTCAATCCTACTATAGGCGAGAAAATAACACAATACAATCAGCAACTCAAAAATAACCTAACTACAATTCGGGACCATTAATACAATAAAAATCCCAAATATACCATAACATACCTAATGAACAAGTTATCAATTAGCCTTAAATTACAACGACGAGCGACCAACCCACTATCTTACCACATGTGGCATTTCTCCACGTCCTTCATCCTTACGAACTCCATAAATCAGCAGCACAAGAGGCCAACATGAGTGGACTACAAAATAGTCCACTACAAGTGGAATAAATTAAACTCACAGCTTCCGATCACCGTCCCGTGAGTCCTAACTATTAGAAAACGAATTTATCAACCTTCCTTGAGATTTAAAAGCTTAAACACATTAAGTGGGCATTTTCTTAATTATGAAGTGACTTCCAAAACTCAAAATACAAAGAAAAAGAGAGGTGGTATAATGATACTTACGTCGTAGGGATCGTTCTAATGTTATCGCTTCTTGATTTCGTACCCGAGATGTTAATCTTTTTTTAAACCCTTGTAGAAAGCTTATGGGTAAGTTTATAGGTCTTATTTGGCCGTGGTCTCTTGAAAAATGAAGAAAAGGATGACATAAAGCATATATATAATTATATATCCACTATTGAAAAGTCAAAGATGTGCTAGCTTGGCACCCTAGCATTGGTCCTTCTTCAGACGCTTATATCTTTTTATCCGGATGTCGTATGAACGAACGGTTAAGAGTGTTGGAAACTAAATTTCAAGACCTTCAATTTGGTGTATAATATTTCCCATGAAGACCTCATATAACATACAAAATATATTGCTCAAAAACCTTCATTACAAGGCAAATCCTTAGTCGGTTTTTTCGCAACATAAATCCGATTTTTTCCCGAACTTTATATTTTATATCCAAATATCATATATATCCATATTATGACTTTAGTTTCATTTAAATCATAATTAACAAGTATTATTCATTATACGTCACCTTGGAACGCACAGGATGTAACACGTCATGAATTTGAACTTAACTCCGGATGGTCTGAAACTCACCCGAGCCACCCGGGACCCCGTCCAACTGTACCAACAAGTCCATAAATATAATACGGACCTTATAGAACCCTCGGAACACGTAAAGCAATATCAAATCTAAGTATCGTACCCCAAAACCAAATTGATCAACTTATGAACTTCCAACTTCTTCAACTAGCTCTGAACGCGTCGAATTATTAGACAACTTGGAATGATGCAAAATTTTGTGTACAAGTCATAAATCACCATACGGATCTATTCCCAGGTTTGGAATGCCAAACGGACCTCGGTTATACCAAAGTCTACTTTAAGCTAAATTTAAAGAACTTGAAAACCTTCAATGCGCCAACTTTTAACATTAAGCACTGAAATGCTCCTGGATCACGTGAAACTTGATCCGAAGATATGCCCAAGTCCAAACTCATCATACGAACATATTGGAACCATCAAATTCCGATTCTGAGTCTTACTTAAAATGTTGACTCAAGTCAAACTTGGCCATCTTAGGCCACTATTAAGGAACTAAGTATTCCGATTTCAATCTGAACCCTTCTAAACCCGAACCAACCATCCCCGCAAGTCATAAAATAGTAAAAGAACATACGAAAAGTCTTAAGTAGGAAAACGGGGATATAGAAAGTAAAATGACCGGTCGGGTCGTTACAAATATGGTCGAATGATTAACTCTCCACTATTAGCTCTTCAATTTGGCGTATAAGCTCCTTTTCAGTTTCACACAACTCAGAACTATTTTGTTGGGCGTTAGACGCAACTACCTTTGTACGCAATTGCGCCTCCAAGTCGTGAATAGAACTGCTAAATTGGTCGATCTCTTGTCTCAGTTCAGCTCTTCCATCTATAAAGTGTTGCATCTCATTTGTAATTTTCTCACGGAGACCTCCATATTCCTCTAATAATTTCATGTGCATATAAAAAATGCGAACATCATATTCCACATCATCCAATTCGTTACTCCTATCAAACTCACAAGCATTATTAGAATATCATAACAAGGGATTGAGGGTAGAATAACAACACTTAGGACAATTAATCCAATAGCCACCACAAATATTACATGATTGAGATGGTGCACACAATTCGCTCCAGGGAATATTTTCACACTATTGCCATAAGTGAGATCCTCTAAAATATGGACAAGGATCACAAAAATAAGAATACTTACCATTCCACCACTTTTCGTTCAAAGTTGCCATGTAAAAAAATTTAATACTAACTAAAAAAAATAAAAACTTGAACAGAAAAAAATAATCAAAGCTTAACTTAGATAAACAATCAATAACTAAGTCCCTGGCAACGGCTCAAAAAATTTATTGGTTCCCCAAGTACACGCAAGTATACGTAGTCGTCAAGTAATAAAGTGACTCAAAAGTCAGATGTCGAACCCACAAAGACTTAGAGTAATTATTAACTAAGCAAACTAAAATTAATTTACTCTCCAAGGTAATCAAGTGCTAGGTTTTCTATTACAACTGCTATTACAAAATTTAAATATGTAACTAAATTAATAAGAAGCAATTGTGGTTGGATTTTAATCAAATTAATCAAAGGAGATGAAGATTCCTGCTTGTGGTCGGTTTATCAATCCTATTGAATTCGTAATTATACCTGTTAATCAGAATTAACTATGGTTGCTAGTTGACCGGATCGTTTATATAAATAGCATGTTCCCACATTACTATCTGTCTATCCGCAATATATCAACCCTATATTTCTATGGTATTGAATATATCATGAACGAAGAAAATACGACATTCATCTAAGTAAGACCGTTAGGTATATTCGTATCTTAACCGCGAAATCTTTCCCCGAGCCACGAGTTTAGAAATAAGTTCTCTCTAATTCCTCTCTAATCTAAACATGACTTTTTCAAGCATAGCAAATTAAGATAGTAGGAAAAATTAGTAGCCACATAATTCACAAATTGAAACTAGAATTAAAGAAATAACCAAAGATGATAATTAGAATCAATTAATACGTAGTTAATAAACGTCAATATTCATAACAATCACAACCCTAGAACACGAAGTTTAGTTTCACATAAAAATAGTAGCCAAACAACATATCATCCGAAGAAAATATAAAAATTATTAAATTTGATAAAAGAAAGATGGCATCCAATGAATTCTGGCCTCCGTGGTGTGCTCTCCCTCGCTAAAATATTATGTAAACTCGTGTTTAATGACTGTTCCTTTGGTTTGTCTTCTCGTATCTTTGTCTGCGTGCTCTTGAGACATGACTTCACTGTTTGCCAGGTAAGCTTTCTCTCTTATTTTTCTACAATGTTTTTTGTCTTCTTCATAAACATCTTCTTAATTAACTTGACATCTTCCTTTATTTATTACAATAGCATGTCACAAACTTTAAAATATACAATTGCTTTGACAACTTCGTTCTTGCCAAATTTTCATTTTGAATGTACTTATATTATTCATTAATATCGAAAATAAATATAAAATCCATAATTAAATTAAGTTGGGCATATTTAATATCAAATAATCAAAGAGAAAAAAAATAAAAAATAAAATAAAATATAACCAAAGAGCGGTAAAAGTGCGAGTAAATTAATATCGAAATATATGAAAATATGCCCGACATCAAATAGTTCTAACTTACTAATACGTATCTGAAGATTTTATTAGAATGTAAATTAAAAACAATTACTAAGAGATAAATAAACAATGAAATTAGAACTGTGTTTTATCCACTTCTTTGAGAGAGAATAAAAACAAAGAAAGCAACGAGTAGTTACTAGCTAATCCTTTTGTTTCACGTCCAACAATTCGGGGTGTACGGCCGGATGTTGATGCACGTTTTTATAGTGAGGCGAAAGCCCAAGAGACTTTTTTCAAATGAAAACAAAATTGCTGAGTAAGTCCTTAATCTAATACTCAAATTCTCAAAAGTCAACTTGTAATTAGTCAAAAGTTTTAAAAAGGAACTTAAACATTAAATTTATCCCTTTTTATTGCTAGAATTACTAATTTATAGTCTTTTCTAATTTTTTATCTTGTCCGCTAGTATGCTCCTATCTCCCAAAAGCAACGACAATTAACTTATTTTTTGCAAATACAAAAAAAACTCAATTCTCCTCCATAGCAGCAAGTTCAATGTTCAAAATGCAAGTTACTTGTGCTTGTAAGTAGCATATAATGGATTATTTTGACTAGTTTTTTATGGGGATGAAGCGTATTATATATATATATATATATATATATATATATATATATATATATATATATATATATCACTTATTTATAGTTTTCTTCAAATTTTATGTAATTTTACCTATTTAAAAATAATACTGTAATTATATTATTTTATAATATATTAATTATTAAATACTCATGGGGCTTACGCCCCGTGCCTCGGGACTTATGCTTCGCTGAGGCATATGTAAAACACTGCTACAGACTACAAGAAGAAAATTGAATTGATTTTGTATTCCAACTTGTAACAAAGAAAGAAATGAATAGAAATGCCAAAGTAACTAAATAGTGTTGTTTATGAAATCAAAGAGAATCAGACAGGAATGACTTGTGTTCCTACAGCTACAATGGAAGAGGGTGGTGAGGCGAGGAGGAGTAAGGTGAATAAGGGGAGCCCATCAGTGAATGGGCCATAATTGGAGATGGGCTTCTTGATGTGGACATCATCATGCTACTCTGGCCCGCCACTACTCTCCTCGGCCCCTTTTCGGCCCATATAAGCTCTTGTTGCTTCACCCTACTTGGGTAGCCCATGCAACACCCCATCTCTCCTGCTCTTTTTATGTACCTGCCACATTTTAAAACACTAGTATTAGGATACGTGTGTTGTGTGTGTACCCCGTTTTAATGAGTAATTTTTTTAAAGCAATCACATAAGCGTTACGCGTGTATCCCAAATCCATGAGTATTTTTAAGCAATATATAAAAGTATATTAATGACTGTGTTTGAGTTATAAATAAAAGTGTAAACTACTTAAATAATTAATGTTGATCCTATATAGCTAATTAAAAAAAAGGTCAAAACTATGCATTCAACTTAAACTTTGTTCTAGTTTTATAATTTCATCACTTAAATTTTATACATTATCATATTGTTTTTAATTTAGCAAGGAAACATACTATAAAGATTTAAGAGCTTTTTAAAAAGAAAGAAATTAGAAAGCTATTCTCAAGTTTATTCTAGAAGATACAAATAGGGACAATTGAATAACAAAAGATAAGCTCTTTTTTTCTTTTTCGTGGGCAAGCCACAAATTAATTCATTTCGTTAAGCAATAAGTGATACGATATGAATTATTTCCATAAATTTTAAAAGAATAAGTTAGTATCGCAAAAGTTTGAATCCAACAACTTCATTTTGATTTTAAAAAGTATTGGAACATACATGTGAAGAAAACAAAAGAAAAGAAATATATAAATGGTGATCCAAAAGCTTTAGATTACTAAAATTTGAATTGCTATAGTAGATGTATATCCGTAAAAATTATAAGCTTGTTAAAAAGGGAATTTAGCACTGGACCTCGAATGATATTTTTGGATACAAAAACTCAAAACAGAGTTTTTAAATAGATAGAATCGTGCAAAAGAAACTAAATAGGAAGTTCACGTGTAGTAAAAACTCCCATAATTATCTTGACGTAGAGAACTCCTAAAAATACTTGAACAACTAATATTTAGGATGAATTAGATTATAATTCTTAAGCACACAATATTATAATTCCTCGTGAGCATCAATTTGACTGATTTAATTAAGGTATATGATGTTGACTCGAAGAGTTATTAAAGTGGCTATTGAATTTCAACACAAGGAATGATCAAAGTGTTGAAACTTTAGATTCTTTACAAATTTTAAATATTAATATTATTACTTTATTTCAAAAAATTAAGTAAATTCTTCAAGCCATCCTAGAAATAATAGAGTTATTGTACTGGAATTCTAAGTAACAATATCAAAATTTATAGTAATTATTTTTTAGTCAATTCTTTCGGCCCTCCTAGAAGAGGTATTTTACTGGAATTCTAGTTATACCTTCAGTTTAAGAAGGATAGACGATATATACTTTTATCTACATAAATGCTCAAAATTAGTCACTATTATTTATTACTTATTTTTTCACAAAAGTCTTACATAAAATTTGTGCCCAACTTATCTTCTAAAATAAAAAAGAGAAAAGAAAAATGTACACGGCCTGTATAAAAAACAAAATCAATGTCAAATTGAATTCGATTCTTTCGACTCTTTTGGATTCCTCACCTTCAATAAAGTATATGTTATATGAAGTTTGTAGGTTAGGTTTTATATATTACTTAATTACCACTCCTATTTTACCATGTAGCTCTATAAGGTAAATTGTAATTGATTATAACATCCTAATATTAGGACCTTTCAGATAGTAGTTCAAATAAGAAAGTTATTTAATATGTAAAAGTTTAGTTGATTTCAATCCTAATTATTAGGAGTAGAAAATAATTAAATTATAACTTTATCTATTGTGAAATTTATTTTTAAAGGATAAAAAGACGAAGGACATTTCGATAAGAGTTTTTATACTTTTAATATAATATAAATAGATATATAAATTAGTATTAATCAAAACACTATTCTACTAGTAACTACTACTCCATCAATTTAGGTCAATATTTGTTTAAAGTTGTTGAAAAGTCCTTGGACTATCTGAAACAGGGCAAGGGCCAAAAGGAAAAAAAGGGTAAAATATTAAGTGTGTTGCCGGCCACATTCATTGGTAGTAATGTGACATGTGTTCCATTTTAATAAACATTTCTCTCAATTTCTTTGTTTTTCTTTCAATGTTAGCTACTTAAAAATATGTAATTGCGTTGCCATCATTTATTGAAAAAAAAATTATTTTATTTTTACGTATCCGATAAGAGAAAAAAAGCGAGTAAGAGTTAGACATTGTTACACTCTGTTATCATCATTTTCAAATAGGGATTGAGCCAAATATACCTTTGTATTTAAGAAAAATATTTAAATATACCATGTATTATACTATGAGTCCAAATATATCCATGCACCTATACTTTGGGTTCAAATATACCCCTAATTTAAACGAAGTGACACGTGTCATCGCCCTATTGGTCAATTCTAATTGGTTATGGGTATGAGTTTTTTTAATTAATTAGAAGATATTTAGAATAGGTCAATAGGACGATGACACGTGTCACTCCGTTTAAATGAAGGGTATATTTGAACCCAAAATATAACGACAGGGGTATATTTGGACTCATTGTATAATGAAGGATATATTTAAATATTTTTCTAAAGTACGGGGTATATTTGGCCCTTTTCCCTTTCAAATAACCTATCGATGTACAGTTAACCTTTTCGATAACTAAACGATATGGTTATCCAGTAAAATTCGTCTCAAAAGGGTTATAATACTGGTTCAATGACTAACCCATACGGAAAAGAGATAATTATAATACTTTTAACTTCTCTCAAGGACCATTGGAGCTTTTGAAGTGGGGAAATGGTCAATCTTTCATAGAAGTATATATAAATCAAGATATTCTATGAGTGTTTCTTATCTAATACCACTAATCAACTTGGCTTGCCATAGTAATAAAGACGAGCATTAGAAAACAAAAAAGTAAATCAAGGGAAATTAAGGAAAATTGAGAGGTAGGTACCTTTGACTAAATCTTTTTCCCAAGCATTCAACACATTTTCTACCTTCTGGCATCTCTCCCATGCCCATGCGAACGCATTGCCTGCAGTAGGCTCTTCCACATACCTGCTATACATATAGTTTTGAAGAGTTTACTTAAATAGTCTTCTACCCAACCATTTAAATTAAAAATAGCTCACTGATATATAATATATTTTTAATTTATATATAATATGTGTATAATCATTTATGCTCAGTTATAATCTATGTATATTGGTTAAGAAAAATAAACAGCCGACTAGCTGTTTGTGTAGAAATCCCTATTATTTTCCAGATTTTTAACTTATGGGACATATAACTAAACCAAGTTTGTGAATGCTTGGAAAAATAGATATACTTCACTTAAGGGACGTCTGGCTTAGAGAGAAGTTATTTGAAGATTTGGATTCTATGTGGAGATCAAAACTCTTATCAAACCAACCGAACAAGCCGTAAGGTTTATATGATGTGGGATTTGAGTTTATAAGAACTATTACAAAAACAGTATAGTTTAATATATGATAACCATCCGTTTCAATTTACGTTAACTTATTTCCTTTATGGTTCATGCCAAAAAAGAATAATTTTTTTTCTTTATTTAGAAATAATGTACCTTTATGTAATAATTTATAGCCACACAAAATATATATTTCTCATTTTATACCATAAGTTTAAAAGTCTTCTTTTTTTCTTAAATTTCGTGCCCAATCAAATGGGTTAAAAGGATGGAGTATTATTTTATACTTAAGTGACAAAATTATGTAAACGGTGCAAACTTGGATATGAATAAAGATAAGTCTAACCAGACAGCGGTGACGAAAGAGGTAGATGTAGGTGGTGCAAATTGTACAAATATTGGAGTGAGGAATCCCTGGTCGCCGCCGTCCCGGGTAATGACGCCCGCCCGTGGATACCGTGCTTATCCCACTCATTTGACTCATGTCATGATCATAACTCATGCTGTTCCCTACTACATGCATCCTCCCATGTGAGCCGTAAGGATAATGACCTCCGACGACATGCCCATGATGATTTCCATGTCCATCCATTTCACGATGATGATAACCTCCATGGCCGCCATAACCATGATGAAGATTATGGTGACGGTCACTATGGCGTCCATGCAACATGTCATTCTCCTTCATGACATGGTGACCATGGTTTTGCGCGCGACGGTAATCTTGATAAACATGATTATTAGTATGATAATTATTTTCAATAACAATATTTTTAAAAGCTCTGTTAAAGTCTAAGCTGGGCAATCTGGTAAGTGATGAATTAGGCAAAGGTTCAGAAACATCAGACATCATGACTTTAGAAAGGTCTTCAAAAGTAAGGTTGACAGAAGCATCAGGAACTCCAAGATACAAATCTTCTAGTTCTCTTCTTGCTTTGGCCAAAGTTTCCAAATCTCCCATAATAAATTTAGTTTGTGTGGGATCGATCGATGAGTTGTTAGCACAAAATTTGGAGAAGAGAGGGTTTAATTGCAAGTGTTTAATTAGTCGTAGAATATTCGTGGGTATTGTATATGAAGAGAGAGCAGAGACACGACAATAGTGTAAGGACAAATTAAATAATATACGTAGCAGCTCAGGCCGGCCATACATATCAACAATCACTAAGAGACAACTGTACAATTTTCTTTTCAATTAAAGAAAACATAAACATCCTTTTTAATTTTGAATCTTCCTTTAAAATTTAATGTCTGAGTTTAACTTCTTCTTTCTGAAAACTTTTTTGTACTAGTAGACCACCTAAAGGATAATGCCATCATTGATTAAAAGTGAAATTAACATAAACTGAAAAATTTGGTCTAATATACTTGCTGTAATAGGTATTGATAATATAAATTAATATTTTCACATCGTAAGAGTGTATGTATATATACGTTAAATATATCCATTAACGACATCCCAAAGTCAGATTGTCAAAGCATAAGTAACTCAACCAGCTCCGAGACATGTATTTGTTCTTTGTTTTCTCTTATTCTTCCTCTGACCTAATCATACAATACGCGGTGTTAGGCAAAACCTCCAATTTTATTATTAATGCGAAAAATAATTACACATATTGAGCATGCGAACATGCGGTTATATATTACCCCATTGTAATTGGTTTAAAATTTATAATGTAAACTTTTTATTATTCTTAATTTGTGTCTCACTACAAAAAAAAACTTATTTTGTGGGGGTTTGTTTTGTCAAATTGTGATGGTTTTTGACATCCTAAAAAAGAATTGTGTTCTAGAAGTGCCACAGTTATCTTTGCCGCGAGCATTATTGTGGCGATTTTTTAAAACCTCCACGACAACCGCCACAAATGAATTTTGAATTTGTGAGGGTTTTTAAAACCCCCCGTGATATGATTTGAACTTGCTAGAAAAAATTACTGCAGGGGTTATATACCCTTTCAATATGATCACAATGGTTAAAAAAAAAATTGTGGGGCTTTATAAACCCCCACGATATAGTTTAATTTTTTTTTTTGAAAAAAGGTTATATGGATTTTATAATCGCTATAATATGATATTAATGTTTGAAGAAAAATTAGTGGCCGCGTATTTCCTACACAAAATTTTGTTGTTGAAAACTCTTTTTCTTATTTACAACAACAACAAAAAACCTAGTGTAATCTCATATAGTGAGATCTGGGGGATAGAGTGTACGCATACCTTACCTTTACCTAGTGAAGGTAGAACGATTGCTTCAGATAGACCTCCGGCTCAAAGAAAAAAAAGAAAAAGAAATAACAATTGGAATAACAACGAAACACTACAAGAAATAGGGTTTTTAGTGGCGACGATTCGTGGCGACCCTTGTAGTTGCCACAACAAGTAAGGATTTTCGTGGTCGCTTGTTAAGGTCGCCAGAAACCATGATATTTGTAGTGAAAACCCATATAATTGCAACAAAAGCAAAGTTTTTGTGGCGATAAAAAACAGTTGCCCCCCAAAGTGATTGTTTTGGTGGCGACTTTACATAAGTTGCCACAGTTATTAACTAAATTTTTGTTTACAATAACACAAGAGTTTTTGTGGCGACTTACTCGCCACGAAAGGTAATACTTTTATGGTGACTTTTTTTAATCATCCCAACTATTAAAGCACTACAAGAAAAATATACTACTACCTCCGTTCCAGTTTATGTGAACATATTCCCCTTTTGGTCCGTTCCAAAAAGAATGATCCCTTTCTAAATTTGGAAATAATTTTGCTTAAACTTATAATTCTACCCTTAATGAGAAACTTTTATAACCACACAAATACTCTGAGCCCCTTTTTGAATTGTTTAGGACCACAAATTCTAAAAGTCTTCATTTTTCTTAAACTCTGTGCCCAGTCAAACAAATTCACATAAATTGGAACGGAGGGAGTACTAAATAATTAGAATTCACATTATAAATATTAAGTTATCTGAATATGCAATTACTCTCCTGAATGATTGATATTAAAAAAATAAATTTATTAGGATTTATATAATGTAAAAATAAATACAAAAAATTATAAATGAATGTAGGATATTATTACATTCTTCAATTTGTAGGAGGTGAAGCTGCAGTGCTCATAAAATAAATATATAAATGAAATCATACTCAACCCATATTTTTCTTATTTTTAATAATTAAAAATAAAAAAAAGTAAAAGTAACCAAATAACAAAGAAACTCAAAGTGGTCAGATTCAAATCAAAATTTCCTCTTCATAAATCCGTAAGGCCATATCCCACCACATACCCGCCCCCAACGTATCCTAGAATCTCATTTCCCTCAAACCTCACTGTAAAACCCTATCTTCCCTTTCCCCAAATTCATCCAGCCTCTTCTGGAGTAATTTCGATCGGCGATTTCATCTCTTCGGCCTATAAATCATTTATCCAAATCCCATGACTCCTTTTAATCTTTTCCATCTTCTCTACCCCTTTCGTGATGCTACTACCATCTCCTTACAACGATAAGCCTGGGATTGGGCTAGAAATTGGGCGGATAGTGGATAAGTTTTGTTGGCTCGGCCGCTATGTAGTCAGTCGTAAGTATAATTTTTTTAGTTGATTGCTTAAATTTATGCAACTAATTGGAGAAGTGTTATTTTCTTGTGGATGTGATTGTACTTTTTCGATGTGTGTTATTTATTTTCAATATGACTTGCTTTCTGGATTTTTTGTGCCATCTTTGCTTCAATGTTTGGGTTACCCTAATTTTTTTTTATCTCCATACATTTACTTGAGGCTCTTTCTACCCTAAATTAAGGCATTCAAGTTTTAATTTTTGGGCATATAGCAAAGTTCTCTAATTCGAATTTGTAAGGGCTTGCTTTGTTAGTTGATCTTGGCACCACTTTTATATTTGTTATCTATTCAAAATATAAAAGTGACTAATGCTAATGCAACCGACATGAAAAGGTGATATGCCCGTCTATAGACTAACCTTCTACCTTAATCTTCAACCTCCAAACTTTCCTATCAAAGGTCATGTTGTTAGTAAGTTGGAGCTGTGCCATATCCTTCCTAATCATCTCTCCCCAAGACTTCTTAGGCCTACCTCTACCTCTTCTCATCCCCACCATGGCCAACCTCTCGCACCTTCTCACCGGAGCATCTGTGCACATCCTCTTTACGTGCTCGTACCACCTCAGCCTAGCTTCCCGCATCTTGTCCTCCACAGGGGCCACTCCCAGCTTGTAATTATCCGATCGATCGTTTTAAGAATTTGCATTCAGTTCGGTAGTTTGAGATCATGAGTCGCTTCATATGGTATATAATGACTTGCGTGTATCGTCGGTTTTGATTTTCGAGTAGTTCAGGGTTGATTTGGAAAATTGATTATTATTTTTGAAGCTTTAAGTTGGAAGAGTTGACCAAGTTTGACTTTTTTGAATTTGACCTCGGATAGGAGTTTTTATGGTTCATTAGGTCCGAATGGTGATTCTGGACTTGAGAGTATGTCCGGATTTATATTTGGATATTTCTAGAGAGTTTTGGCTTTAATTGGCGAAACTTGGCAATTTAAAGATTTGAAAAGTTCATAGGTTTGATCGGGAGTTGACTTCGATGTTATTGAGTTTAGATTATTGTTCTAGAATTTGGAATAGGTTTATTATGTCATTTGGAACTTGTGTGCAAAATTCGTATTCATTCTAGATTGGTTAGGCTTGAATTAGACGCTTGGTTGAAGTTTGAAATTTATGAACTTAAGAGTTCGATCTTGATCAGTGATTCATGATTTTAATGTTATTTTGCGTGATTTGGAAACTTGAGTAGGTCCGTCTTATATTTTGGGACTCTTTGGTATGTTCGGACGGAGTCCCGAGAGGCTCGGGTGTGCTTCAGATTCATTTCGGACTATTCCGGAGTTGGCATGAGTTGTTGGTTTTCGGACGACGTGGTTCGTGTTATGGTCTTCCGAAACGAGATTTGACTTAGGATCATTGTGTACCGATAAGGGAAAATATTGACGTGAAGACAAATCGAGGAGGATTAGAAGAAATTGGTCAGCTCGGTGGTATTGGGTCAGCATAGCAACAAAGGTAACTGGTCTTTTGGTGTAGTAATGCTTCACCAGCATTCTGTGGCAATACTCTTGGGTTTGACGGCTTGCGTGACTTGGTTGAGTTGGGGATGTTTAGTTCTGATGGGTTGGTGATGTGCAGACTGGCCTCGAAGAGTTCTTGATAGTGTCGACCACAACTTGAGCTAGATGTCTGCTACTTGCATAAGGAACGTGTTGCGTGTTATGATTTTTGCCTGGATTGGGTCACGAGTTCTAGACAACATGGACAATTTAAGATGTTTAGATGAATGCTAGCATTATTTGTTAGCACCTAAGAAGGGTACGCACTCCAGAAGGCGCACTGTGTTTCGATTTGCGGATGCCTGATTGGTATTACGGTAATCGCCTGGTTGATCGAATACCGATGTCCAGATTTTGCTTTGTGGAATAAAAGAATTATAGAAGTATTTCTCGTGGGCTGACCGTATGTTAGGAATATGTTAGTTATTTGAGTAGTGTGGTTATGATCGGATATGGAGATTCTAGTATTCTAGGGATTTGAAGACTACGAGGGTTCTCAAGGCAGATTGTTCCATAGTTGTGAATGGTAAAGGTATGTTAAGATGTTGGAAACTGATGGTATGTACTATAGATATGTTATTGTGGGCTTTTTGGAGGCTATCTACCTATTTCAGAAGGATTAAAACTGATTTGGTGGCTACTAGTAGGTCTAATCAGGATGTGTGTTCTAAATCATATCAGATTTATCTAATCAGCATAGTTATTGTGGAGGGGTATGTTATCGGTTAGGATGGATCACATTCGTGTTCTGATATGTCTCATTTGTTACTCTCCTATGCTGCGATGAGTTGTAATCTGTTGGTTATCTACACACCGATGCGGTTATGTTTGGGCTTTGTAGCGAAATTCGAGCGAGATTGCTCTTGGGGTGTTGAATGGTTGATTGTGCCTTGGTTTTGGTCGTCCTATTTCT